CAGCGTGGCTGGCAAGAAAGGGTATAAAAGAAGAAAAACTAATGACATGGCCTCCTTGTTCACCTGATCTGAACCCCATTGAGAACCTGTGGTCCATCATCAAATGTGAGATTTACAAGGAGGGAAAACAGTACACCTCTCTGAACAGTGTCTGGGAGGCTGTGGTTGCTGCTGCACGCAATGTTGATGGTGAACAGATCAAAACACTGACAGAATCCATGGATGGCAGGCTTTTGAGTGTCCTTGCAAAGAAAGGTGGCTATATTGGTCGCTGATTTGTTTTTGTTTTGTTTTTGAATGTCAGAAATGTATATTTGTGAATGTGGAGATGTTATATTGGTTTCACTGGTAAAAATAAATAATTGAAATGGGTATATATTTGTTTTTTGTTAAGTTGCCTAATAATTATGCACAGTAATAGTCACCTGCACACACAGATATCCCCCTAAAATAGCTCAAACTAAAAACAAACTAAAAACTACTTCCACAAACATTCAGCTTTGATATTAATGAGTTTTTTGGATTCATTGAGAACATGGTTGTTGTTCAATAATAAAATTATTCCTCAAAAATACAACTTGCCTAATAATTCTGCACTCCCTGTATTACGCAGACCTCCTCTCTGATTATGCACTTCTGTGCCACTGCCTCAGCAACGGTTGTTAGCATTAGCTCAAACGCTCACATAATTGCTGTCAGTAACCTGGACAGTTTTAGGTCCAAAACCCTGCAGGACTAAGGTCCATTATAATGAATCCCACAGTGAAATAAATCTGGTTCTCATACCCGACCATGCGCATGACTTATGCCTTCAAAAAAATAAGAAAAAAATCCAGACAAAGTGAAGAAATAAATTTCTTCCTGATGCATTTGTTTAAAGTGTTTCCTATAAATGAGTTATATGAGCCGCACGTGTGTTTCATGTGTCTAGTCTATGTTTAGCTTTCTCTGATTTAAGCCTTGATTTTTTTTTCCTTACATAAAAGCAGGGATTATTTTGCATGCTTAAAAAAAAAAGAAAAAAGAAATACCAAAAAATTCCTGGTTGCTCCAGTCTGTAGGAGATATTTCCTAGATTAAAGGAATTTCTTCCATCTTTATCACGAAACAGGTGAAATTATCCTTCACTGCACTGGTAGAGTTTTCAAACAGGTTTTAAAATTCAGTAAAATACTGAAAGACTGCCCTAGACCTTTTTTTTGTGTGTAAAATGAAACTGCATTTTTGAGAGACCTGGAAACATCATGTCATTATCCTGTAACGCTGGCTGCCGCAGATAAGAAAATGGTAATGTTCTCTACTGTATTTGGCTTCATGTGGTGATGTGTGGCTGCAGTGGGTTGGCTGGATTTGGCCTCACTTGAACTACATTTGTGAGCAAGAGAAAAGGGAGCTGTGGTTATTGTGTGTGTGTGTGTGTGTGTGTGTGTGTGTGTGTGTGTGTGTGTGTGTGTGTATGTGTATGTGTGTGTGTGTGTGTGTGTGTGTGTGTGTGTCTGTGAGACAGACATGAAATGAGCTATAGTTCTCAATAAAACAGCAGAAGAGTATTTTTCCTTCTCTTCTCACACAAACACACACACTTTGCTGCATGCCTGCACACATTCCTTCTGGCAGCTGAGCGGCCAATGGGCAGCCAGTACGCAAATAAGTTGGGCGTGTCCTTTTAAAGCTGGAGTACAGGGTCTGAATGGAGAGTAGAATAGAATAAAATAAAATAAATAATAAAAAAGAATTGAGTGTGGATGGAGAGGAAGGTGAAAAGACTAGAGCAGAAAGAAGCTTTACAGCCTAAATATTTAACAGTGTTACTGCTTGAGCTCAATTTGTGTGATTTTCAACTTGAAAAAACAGCATATCATACTAATAATATATATATATATATATATATATACATACACATACACACACACACACATGTAGTGTATATAGTGATTTCTATGTCAGTTTATCCATTACTCATTTTAGTTTTGTAATATTTTAAGTGATAAAGTTAAACAGCATCGTCAAAGTGAGCACTTGTTTCTTCTGTTGTCATGTGTGAGAGTAATCTGGATACATTTGAGTTTAGGGTTAGTGGATTAACCAGGATGTATACTAGAAATTTTTCATCTTGCCTTTTGAACAATTTATAAGCAAAAGATTTTAAAAATTAATCAATCATTTTTATTTTATTAAGCAGACATAGTAAAAAAAAAAAAAAAAAACTTCAATGGCTTTACTTCTCTTTATTCATACTTGAAGTTGTTAACAGGCTGCATTGTTGTTGCCATAGTTACAACTTCGTTACCCCTGCGTTATGTAGCTGTGGGTCATATGACTACGAAATAAAATAAAAGGCACATTAATCCATTCTGAGAAAATAATTAGCTGTGCCTCCAATCTCATTTCCTTTAGGATTAAGGAGAACATTTATGAGTTGCTGGCAGGTGGTAATTTGGTGCTCTCTACGCATGATCAAAGCATCTGTAAAGGTTTAACAGTAGCCGAAGGACACTCCCGTTTAACCGTGCCTCTTGTGTTTTTAAAGTGATTCGCGCTTAATGCTTACGTGTGTCTTAATTTTTCTTTCTTGTTATTATTCAGTAGTCATCAGACGAAGAGCTGAGGAGGGTTTCTTGTACAAACACCTTATGTTTGGAAATTTGAGGAATTTGCTTGCGTCACGATCGCATTATATGAGTTCAAAATGATAAATCAATAAAACTCCACGTCTGTGCTCATATTTGGTCGCACTCTGCTCTTTGTCAGGCCCGGCAAATTCATTTCACGGGCAGTAATTTGCAGTAAATTGTCCCATTAGCTGACAATTGATTTTTGTTTTGTCTTGCTGCCCACACCTATTTCTTGTACCCACTGGCTATGAAAAGCTATATACTGTAAAAAGGTAAATAAAAAGCAGAACAAAAAATGTTTAAACCCCTGCTGGACTGGACCACAGTGCACAGCCTATTACAAACCAAAGAGCTGAGGTCTCCCTGCATCCAAGCAGTGAGCCTTCCAGCTTTTAACACATTATTAAAAACTTGTCCATTGTGGTAATAAATGCCACTTTTATATTTATATATATATATATATATATATATATATATATATAAACAGAGTTCTCTGCTCATCTCTGCACAAACCACAATCTCAAACAATTCTGTACATAAACATAGAAGAATTGTAATTTTTATTTTAAATGAGAATAAAAAGACAACAAGTAACATGAAAGACTTGTTAACTGCAACTAAGTTGGTTGAGACTAAAATGGAGCCAAAAAGGAGTAAATATGCAATTTCCTACTATGGTTAGTAGGAAAGCAAAAAAAAAAAACAACAACAACAAAAAAAGCACATTACTGTGGGTTTAAATAAGAACTCATTTATTACAGAAAAGTAATAGAGTTATATACACCTGAAAAAAAATAAATAAATAAAAGGAAAAATGAACCAACGGCATGCAGAACTCTCAGCTCATGCTGCAGACTTGAGAGAGACTGAAATTTCAGTTAATCAGCCATCCTTTCCCATGTCCTCTGTGGTGCAGCCCAGCCTAGTGGCTTCACAGCAGAGTGGACTACTTTATTTAGAACAGTGTTGTGGGGTTTTAAACCACGAGCAGACTGCTCGGCTGACTCACCGACTAGAATAGAGGTCTGCCTAAAAAACCTGTGGCGTTTAAAAAAAGAAAAGTGGGGATGACACAAAGTGGAAAAAGAGTGAGCGAATGAAGGGAAACAAAGACAAAAGATGCTGCTCTTAACAGAGTCTGCCCTCTGTGGTTTGCAGCAATTAAGTCCCTAAAGAGAAGGGTGCAGGAACTCTCTGGAGCACGGCGCACATTCACTGTACTTGGCGAGGATGAACGCGTCCCGCCATGCTCACAGGCTTTTATCGATCCTCTCATCACTATTAACTCTGACTGTGTTTACATTCAACAGTGTGGCTAAAAAAAAAGTGCAGAACCAGAAACACGAGCTCGGCTGCCAGCGTTAAACAGACAATCTCCACATAACAATGACTCACTATTCATGGAGCAATTTGAACCCTTGATTCTTTATCAAATCCTGGCTTGCTGTTGCAGCACTTTTGCTATATCAAGAAATCTACTGTTGGTGCTACTGATGAACAACCATGATTCTACACAGCCACATCCTGTTGTTTGTAATAGTGACAGACGAGGTGTCTCTGCAAGGATGGGGATGTGCTCAGAGCACCGAGGGAAACAGGTGCCGTTGGACTCGCAGGTGTGCGGGGGTTTAAGTCGCCATGAGTGATGATGACCAGCCCCAATCCTAACCCCATGTTTCTGAGAAGCAAAAAATGTTTGTTTGGGGTTTTTTTTTTTTTAAATCAGAAAGATTGCCAAAAAATTAAATAAATAAAATAACAATACAAGTAAAAAATATAGTGATAGCACAGAATTGGGGTTAGGGTTATCACTGATGACTCCACAAGGTTGCATAAAAAGACAGATTGGAAATCGGATGAAGCCATCAAGAGATAAATACAATAATTAGGTAGATTACAATAAAGGAGGGATTAAAGACTATTTTCTTTTTTCTTTATAAAATGATTAAGATTTAATGAAATAAAAACACTTGAGATTGTAGTGAAAGAGCTAGTACACTGACACACTCACACAAACTAAATTAATAGTCAGGTGTGCTGGTGAATGCTGCAACATCTGCCAGCTGAACACACACACACGCAAGTTAACCAGTAACACCCCAGCCTGTGTGTGTTCCCGATCTCATAAACACATTAGTTTACACAATTAAACACACACACACCCCTACACACGTACACACATGGGGTTATGAGCACAGGTTACGAGCCCCGGATGTCTGTCAGGATCTAACAGCTACACCGCCCTCCTGAGGTCCGGCTCCGGGCGGAACAGGCAGTGTAGGTGCGTTTGATTTTAACGTAGATGGCAAGAAAAAAAAAAGATAGAAAGAGAAAGAGCACTAAGAGTTTGCGGTGATAAAAATGTAATAAAAAAAAAAGCCTCACCACATTAGTGAGAAAATCTCCGTCGCTGAGTTCCTCCAGGTCCAACAGGTTGGTCCCTCCGGACGGATAGAGTTTCTCCGCTGTTAAACTGTCTAAGATAGAGTCCATCATGACTGCCTGCGTCTGTCTGCAGCTCACCGGACGGATGGACAGCTGTGCGCGTCTTTAAGTCAGACCATTAAAAAGCGGGCAGTTTGTTTTCACACGGCCTCGCGCCGCCTGTGTGTGACTCCAGCTGCTGCTGCTCTCTCTCTCTCTCACTGTTCAGCGCTGACAAATGTCAAATTTTCACATCCTCCTCGAGTTGCGTGTCGCTGAGACGTCGGCGCTTCTTCCAGCTCTCTCCTCGCGTGCGCCGCCTCAGCCACTCGCTGATGAATATTCAGAGAAGCCCCGCCCACGTGACGTCCAAAAAAAAAAAAAAGAACGCGCCCACAAAACAAAGTTGTAGTCTGTTATTCGCTCATTAACAAAAAGGAAGAAAAGAAGAAGACTACGCGACCCATTTAGGGCTTTAGATCTGGGGTGTCAAACATAAGGTCTGGGGTCCAGAAGTGGCCCAACACAGACTCCAATCTGGCCCACTGGATGGCTGCAGAAAATGTGAAAGTTTTACTACTGATAAAGACCTCCTCAGTTGCCATACATACTACACCACAGTAATTAAGTACACACACACACACAAATATATATATATATATATATATATATATATATATATATATATATATATATATAACAACACCCAGCACGCCCCTGTGGGCGGTTTATCCTTCAAGCTCGGGTCCTCTACCAGAGGCCTGGGAGCTTGAGGGTCCTGCGCAGTATCTTAGCTGTTCCCAGGACTGCGCTCTTCTGGACAGAGATCTCCGATGTTATTCCCGGGATCTGCTGGAGCCACTCGCCTAGCTTGGGAGTCACCGCACCTAGTGCTCCGATTACCACGGGGACCACCATTACCTTCACCCTCCACATCCTCTCGAGCTCTTCTCTGAGCCCTTGGTATTTCTCGAGCTTCTCGTGTTCCTTCTTCCTGATGTTGCTGATGTTTATATATATATATATATATATATATATATATATATATATATATATATATGTGTTCCTTCTTCCTGATATTGCTGTCATTCGGAACCGCTACATCGATCACTACGGCCGTCTTCTTCTGTTTGTCTACCACCACTATGTCCGGTTGGTTAGCCACCACCATTTTGTCCGTCTGTATCTGGAAGTCCCACAGGATCTTAGCTCGGTCATTCTCCACCACCCTATATCTATATCTATATATATATATATATATTAGAGATGGCACGATACCACTTTTTTATGTCCGATACCGATACCGATATCATAAATTTGGATATCTGCCGATACCGATATGAATCCGATATAGTGTTTTTTAATCAACAAAACTGTTTTTTAAATATCTTGCTGCATTTTGTATAAGTTCATACTCAAGTTTAAAACAACAACTACACTAAAGCTATTCTGTTATACCTGTATGCAAAAAAAAATATTTCATAGTTCAGCAATACTGATCAATCTAATAAACTTAAACCTACACCATCCTCCCTATTCTGGTATTTTAAAGAGTACTTAGCATAAATATTAAGCAACCTAACTAATAGGGTTCCAACTCCCAGCAACAACAAAAATAAATAAATAAAAAATAGGGAACCACCCCTCACTGTCATGGTCTCCGTGCCTGCCCGGTCGGCCCCACAAGGCTACAATTGCTGTTGCTGTTTTCTCCCTCTCTGCCTGGGCGGAGCTCACTGTGGGCTCCCGCCCTTGGCCCACACACACACCTGACAACACTCACCCATCATCACCGGGAGCACTATTTGAGGCTGGAACACAGATCCTCTCGTCGCTGGATGATTGTACCCCTAACGTTAGTGTTCTCACAGCTCTTGTGCTTCATATCCGTGACTTGTGATTAGTTGGTGACCTGCCTTCTCGTCTGCTTCAGATCCCCCCCCCCCCCCGGACCTGCGACCTCCCTGCTGCGGGAAAGTGTGTGAGTGTGAGAGAAGAAGACGTGAGCGAGTTACCCTGTGATTTCCCCCCCGGAGTTTTGGATCCCTTCACTGTACATATATTGCACTGCACTGTAAATAAACCACACCTTGGAGATACCTTACCGCTCTGCGCTTGAATCCCTGTACCAGATCGTGACACTCACGCTCCACCTCATGATGCTTAATCGACGTAATCAACCTTAATTTGATGCAGTGTGAAAAAAAATGCACAGAAATCAATTATTTTTCAAGAAATATTAAATAGATTCAACATCTTTCTTCAACAAAATTGCAGACTGCACAGATTGTACCTTCCCAAAGGAAAAAGTACTATAGCTTACTAGGGTATATATATTAGACTTAATAGTTACTATATACAGTAATTGACTTCTATTCATTTTACATCAAATTAAAACTTTGGGTGTCAGATAATTATTTATTAAAAGCTAGACATTTTAAATGAGAATAAGAAAGACAAGTATGTCTTTGTGCCCCCTTTTCCCTGTTAATGCCCTATCAGCCCCCCTGGCTAAACTTTGCTAGATCCGCCCCTGCACAGTTACCAGCGTCAGCTACGTAGAAAAAGATCCTCGAGTAGAAAGTAATATTAAATACATTCTAACAACAGCTGATCAAGCTTAAACGTGCTGCTGTTGTTCAGCCGCTGGTTTCCTCTTTCTGGTGCAAAGTGAGCCAAAAGCAAACTAGAGACACGGACTAGCGACAGAAAAGCCGATCAGCTGATCGTTAAGCAGTTTCATGATTGAAGTAGCAGCAAGAAGAGGCAGTCGCTCCATATATCGTTTGTTAAGCTTAACGCAGGAATGCTTTACAAACATTCAGAGATGGACTTACACACTTGCTTTACTTCTCTCGGGATAACTTTGTCGGAGATGAAATGCCGGGTTGCTAGCGAAGCTCCAAATGCTATCCAGACCATCGACAGGTCCTGCATGCCACAGCCGCTCTATCACGTGATGCATACTGCTCCGACGTGCTAACGTTCTGAGGTGAGTTACGGCGTGTTGCAAGTTTTGTGAGGTGCTTTCGTGATATTTAATGGATCGGATTACATTTTTTATTTTTCTCCGATATCCGATCCAGTAATTTAGGTCAGTATCAGACCGATACCGATACGTAATATCGGATCGGTCCATCTCTAATATATATATATACATATATATACATATATATATATATAGTTCTCTGGTGACTCTGCAATAGTCGGCCTCATCACTGATGGGGACGACAAGGAGTACAGAAAACTGACCCATGACTTTGTGGACTGGTGCCAGCAGAACTACCTCCAGATCAACACTAGTAAAATCAAGGAGCTGGTGGCAGACTTCCACAGGCACAAACATCCTCCACTGCAACCACTAAACATTCAAGGTATGGACACTGAGGCTGTGGACAGCTACAGGTACCTGTTTATCTGAACAATAAATTGGACTGGACTCATAATTCAGATGCCTGCTACAGAAAAGGGCAGAGCAAGCTGTACCTGCTGCGGAGACCCAGGTCTTTTGGAGTGAAGGGCCCACTCCTGACGATCTTCTATGATTTTGTGGTGGCCTCAGCTATATTTTACAGTGTGGTCTGCTGGGGTGGCAGCATCTCTGCTGGGGACAGGAAGAGACTGAACAGGCTGATCCAGAGGGCCAGCTAGAGTAAGTGAAATCCTTTTCACTAAATAGAATCTGTAATATTACCCAATTTACATCTAACTGAGTTATTATGCACTTATTTTAAGATCCATGAAAGTTCTGTGAATATACGCAGCTTCAGTATCAATAAACAAACAGCACACACAGTATATGATCCACCTGCAGACATCTTTGAGCATGAAATACATGCAGAGATTCAGGCCTATCTTTCAGAATGTGTATTTTTGTGGAGATGAAACTGGGAAAAAGACAAGTGACTATAAAGACTGTTTTGACACCTCAAGATACTCCCTGCGGCTATCACACACACACACACACACACACACACACACACACACACACACACACACACACACACACACACACACACACAAAGTGGGAATGAAACAGATATTTCTCTTCACTCCACCATGATTGCTCAGGCTCGCCTGTCTCATTTCATCCCTCTCATTCTGTCCCAGATTGTTTCTCCTCTAAGACACAGATTGAAATACAGCATGGCAAGAGAAACCCTGTTCATTGTTTCAGAGGTGCACAATGTGTGTGTGCTGCAACTCCGACCTGTCCCACGATCTGGCTAGATTTTAAGTGAACCCAGCATGTCATCTGTTTTGTAGGATTAGTACCAGTAGTAGTAGTAGTAGTTGTTATGGTTAAATGCCCTATGGACTGCTTGGTCATCCATGATTTAGATTCACCTAAAAATATCTCAAAACGCCTTTTAAATTGGCATAACAATAAAGCCGACCGACGTTAGTGAAAGTGTTTTTGTGTGTGATGTCTCTACAGCTATTGTATGGATTGTGATGGTTGTTTTTAGGACAACCTTATAATAATAAATTTCAGTAGCCCATAAATGCATGAACTAGTTTTTAGCATCTCTCTGTGACAGGATGTTTCTAATTTTAGAGGTATTGTCCAAATGCAAGAAAGCAGTGCTACACGTTTGTTTAATATGTGCATTGAAGGACATATCCTGGTCATAAACGACTCCAAGATTCCCCACAGTATTACTGAGGGCCAAAGTAATGTCATCCAGAGTAAGCATTGGGTTACACACCATGGTTCTAAGACTTTTAGGCCTGAGTACAATAACCTCAGTTTTATCTGAATTTAGAAGCAGAAAATTAGAGGTTAACAAGTCTTTATGTCTTTAAGAAATTCTTGCAGTTTAACTAATTGATGTGTGTTATCTGGCTTAATGGTTAGATAAAGCTGGGTATCATCTGCATAGCAGTGAAAATGTATACTATGCCTTCTATTGATACTGCCTAAGGGAAGCATGTATAGCGTAAATAGAATTGGTCCCGGCACAGAACCCTGTGGAATGCCATAATTAACCGTAGCGTGTCATAAGTCTGTTAAATACCTTCAATTTCTACAGCATGCTCTAATGTCTTTAATAAACTGTTATGGTCAACAGTACTGAGTGCTGTGCTGAGGTCAAGCAGGACAAGCACATAGATGAGTCCACAGCCAGGGGCCATAAGAAGATCATTTGTAACCTTCACTAAAGCTGTTTCTGAACTGTGATGTGCTCTGAATTCCAGCTGAAACTCTTCAAATAAACCATCCCTCTTCTGACTCTCTTAAGACTTTTTGAGATTAAAGGAAATTTGGAGATTGACCTATAATTACCTAAAAC